ACCATTTTCCTAAGAGACAGTGAGGGCGCTCGCTAGGTTAGGAAGTTGTCTCAAGCCAACAGGCCCCAAGCTGTACGTGACTAAACTTCTAGGAGCCACAGGAGGCTTTGGGTATCCCCAACAGCTGGCAAGGCTGCATCCACCACGGCTGCGCCATTTGTACCTGAGAAAAGATACTAGGCATGCCAGCTCCCAAAGCCTCACCTAGGGAAAGGCCTGGGGTTTCAGGATGCCAGGAGTCTCTCGGTCAGTGGAGCTCTGTGAACAGGAAGCCTCTCCTAATGTCCCATAGCCAGGACACTCCGCACGGTGATTCTCCACAGAAGTGGACTGTTAATCAGTGTCGCAGATTCCTGAGCACGGCCTGCCCCTCAGGGAACCCACACACAGCCACCAGCAGGCGCTCAGGGAAGGGACGTCCAGAGTGGGCACTGGTAGGAACGTACTGTGCCTGCATGGCGGCCTATGACAGCATCCACAGGACGGCTTCCTCCACCCCAGCCATCTCTACAGCTTAACCCTACAAGTGTTGAGAAACTGCCAGGCGCTGGGAGGTGGAGCCATCTTGTTGTGCTCGGATCCCTGGAGGATCCTGGCTGGCCAACCTGGCTGAAGTAGTGAGCCCGGGTTCCAGTTAGAGATCCTGTCTCAAAAAAACAAAGTGGGCAGCGCTGAGATCCAACAGCCAAAGCTGACCTCAGGCATCCACACACTCACAACATAAGTGCATGTGCACGCGCGCGCGCGCACACACACACACACATACAATACATTTACTTATCTGATAAAGAAATACACAGAAGCTTCAAAGATGCTATCTTGGGTTGAACCCAAGCCCCTCCAAACTTGTATGCTGAAATCCTAACCTTAACATTTCACAATGTGACAATCAATGGGGGCTTTTAAAGAAATAGCTGCCAGAGGGGTCTTACACCAAACTGAGTGGCGTTCTTGCAAGAGAAAATCTGGACACCTGGAGACACCAGAAAGGATCACCTGAACAGAGGGGACCACATCAGGATGCCAGAGAGAACGTGGCAATCCGGCAGCCAAAGACAGAGACCTCTGAACTAACCAGCCCTGAGGACACTGGACATTTAGACTTCTAGCCTCCAAGAAAGGAGAAAATAAATACTCGTTTCAGTCTCCTGGCCCGAAGAAGTTTGCTGTAGCAGCAGGAACACATTAATTAATACAGATATGCAAACAGAAAGCCAAGAGGTTTACTTGAGAATCCATAGCCTTCCTGACCTGGGACTGTAGGCGTCCTCCCCCACACAGCAGGCATTTCTAGCGGCACAACCATCGCCCTATCTGAAAGGTCCAGCCATTGCTGCAGAAGTTCCAACCAGCCTAGCTAACCTCCAACAACACTCCAGCCCAAGGTGAACCTCACAAAGAACGAGGCCAGACTCCAAGCCTCAAACCTCAGGAAAGCATGAGAGTGAGGTGGGAAGTCCAGTGGAGAGGTCCAAGCCTCGCTTCTGCTGTGCCTCCAATCGGGCTCCCCACAGTACCAGCTTTATCCTACAGACTTGTGAGTACAACGGCCTGGGCTCTCTTTTCCCTCTCATTCTTTGTAAACGAGAATGAAGAGTGTTAGCGGTGGAGGAGAGATGCATACAAACACCCCTCAGGTGGTCAAAGCTTGCCTCCTGCAACAACGTGTCACTTCAGACAGTAACCACGCGTGGTCCCTGGAAGCAGCTTCTGCCCACCCAAACGGATGCTGGCACGAGTGTGTCTGTCCCACTCATCTGGGTTTTCATAAAACCATCTTTCCTGGCCAATGAGAACCTGGTGTGACTGGGGAATCAGTTAAATCCAGGAGGAAGCTGGTCTCCCCCACTCCCACCCAGAGACTGCTCAGGAGGGACATAAGTTTTCACACACAGGAGAGAGCCACAAGCACCTGAGCTTCTTCTTCCTGCTGCGGCCTCTCACGCAGTCTAAGATGCAGTCTAAGATGTCACACACCAAAAGAGAGACAGGAGGGAGGGGGAGATTCTCTAGGTAAGTGTGCCAAGACGGAAGCCAAGCTGAAAAAACGCAAGCAGCCCCAACACAGGCCGTGTTACTGTTTTGTTTTTTTTTTTTTTTTTTTTTTTTTCACAAAACGGAAAACAAGATTCCATTCCTTGGCTTACACATGCAAACATGGGAAAGCACAGAGTAAAACGGCCAGTATCGAGGGCTTTTGAGCCTCCTCCATCCCCCTGCTCCTCCAGGGCCATCTCCTGCCCACCCTGACTCTGTGGTAAGGGTCAATGAATTAAAAACAAAGAGGCCTCAAGCTGAATGTACCCCACAAAACTCCCCCACAGCCTCAAACGTGGCTGTCTCACAAATTCCTGGAGCAGTAAGCTCTCAGGAAATCAAGCCTTGCTGCCCTGGGAAGGCCCATTCCCTGCCTGTGCTCAATCAATACTGGATAACCACAGGGACTCCATATCAAAACCCATTAATTCACACTCCACATGGCACCTGCGGAAGGGCGAAGCTGCAGCCCTTTTCAGGTCTGGGAAGCAAATTAACAGTGACACAAGCGGGAAACCTTTAGCCAGCCTCATAGTGCAGGGCAGCAGGCTACTTCTGAGCAGGACTCAGTGGGCATTTGTATTCAGGAGCTGGGGCAATTAGGAACAAAGCCTGCCTATTTATGAGATCTTCGGAGACGTGTTCCCTTTCTCACATTAACAGTGGCAATTAATTTCTTCTCCAATGCCCCAGAACAGATGTTTGCTGAATCTTCTGCCAACAAGTGAGGTCTGGGCACTGATGGTTAGGGTGCCTTCCCCAACCCCGGCCCACTACATTTAGCCTCCACTCCACACCATTTCTGATTTTCTACATTATGTATCCAGAGCTTGCCCCTGGGAGCATCTCCATATCTAAAGCATAAATTAAAACAAATATGAACCAAAGATTAACAACAACAACAACAACAAAGCACATAGCATGGTATAAGCTGGGCCAGTGACTATTTACTTTGCCCAGAGAACTCCCCTCTGCTCGGGCAGCTGGTCAAATAGCACAGCTGGCACCATACCTGATGCCTCCACCATTCCCATTCCTCCCCAGGTCCCAGTAACAAGGACCAATCACGACAGGAAGGGCCCTTAATGAGAGACTGGCTTAGGAGCCTGGGTGACGCCTGTGAACAAGCGGAAGGGGAGGCAACTGAGGCCTGTACAGAGTCACTGAGCCACAGCAATCCACTGCGTCTACGACCTTCCTGCACAGATGAGTCGGAAATCTTCCAATAAGAAGTTTACCCATAGCTAGATGGGTTTAAGAGCAGAATCCACAGCTCCCGTGACGGCTGCACCAGCCACCAGCACAGGTACGTCTGACAGCAGGGAAAGCAAACATCCAGGGGGCAGAAACAGACACTGCCATCCAAGCTTCCGGCGGAAAGAGAAACAGCTGACAGACGGTGTTTCCTTAGGATACTGTCACAGTCGTCCACGCATCCGCCGCATCCAACGGGCGGGTCTAGGGAACCTGCTGCAGTGTGGGCCCTGCAAGTGCCACAGGGCCCGGCAGCCTGGGTCTTGGGAGATCATTCTTCCCCTTCTCTAGTTGGTTATTTACGGTGAGGTGGGGAAGGATCAGGCATACTGCACAGGCCTGAATTCCCAACATTTGGGAGGTGGAGGGGGTAAGGTTCTGAGTTCAGGGTTAGGCTGGATTACATAAAGAGACTCTGAGAAGAAGAAGAAGAGGAAGAGGAGGAAGAGGAGGAAGAGGAGGAAGAGGAGGAAGAGGAGGAAGAGGAGGAAGAGGAAGAAGAGGAAGAAGAGGAAGAAGAGGAAGAAGAGGAAAAAGAGGAAAAAGAGGAAGAAGAAAAGAAAAAAGAAAAGAAAAGAAAAGAGAAGAGAAGAAAAGAGAAGGAAGGAAGGAAAGAAAAGAGAGAGAAGGAGGGAAAGGGAGTTAAAAAGAGGAGGGAAGATAAAAGTAGACAGGAAAAGAGGGAGGAACAAAAAGAAAGAGAGGGGAAAGGAGGGAGGGAAACAAGAAGAGCAGAGAGGGTTTGGAGCAAAAGTATGCACACAGGAGAGGCTTCGCCCGTGCCCAGGAGCACACAGTCCCTGGCTCCATGATCTAATAGAAGAAACAATCCCACTTTCTTCCCATGCCTCTCCCTCTTCTGGGTCATCAGTGAATCCAGACACCACCTTGGAGGTTCCCCTGTCCACCTCTGAGACCCACTGGGTATGTATGTGGTAAAGGGACATGACACACATCCCACACCATGACTGGCATGAATCCTTCTCTCCCCTGCCAATAGCATGCACCGTGGTAACAAGAGCTTGGCCCACACACCCTGGCCTTGGCTCTCTGTTTGGCCAAGCAGTTGACACCAGAAAGTGGTGTGGCTCCCACACAGAAGCCCAAACCATCCGCCTGGTTTCCACACAGAAGCTCAGTCGCTCTAGTTCTCTCCAGCATTGATGCTTTTACTGCTGTTATCTTACAGTCCCCAAATGGTAGGGAGGAATCCTGGAGCTGAGAGGCACCTGACCCATGAACGTCAGAAGTGAACTCCAACCTCCCAGAGTCCCCCTCCTCCTGCCTCTTCCTGTATAGATGTGACAAACTAGGTCTTTTCCCTATCCTTAGGTGTGCTGTCGTCTCCCTGATGACTCAGTCAGCTCTCAAGCTCTCCCAGAACCACGATCATAAGCTCCCTCCCGCCCGCCGCCAGTTCCGGTTGCTCATGTATACGTACACGCAACACTCCACATTGGCTACAACTCTACATCTGACATTCAGGATCTGAACTTAGCAGGATGTGAACAGTGAGGGGTTAGTCATGTTAATAGGCGGGCACTTTCTTTATGGAAGGAGTCACCATTCACTCCCACTAATGCCCTGTCTGTTTAGACTCCATCAACTACCTGAGGCACGAATGGATCCATCAAGGCAAGTAGAAAGGAACCTACTTCCTAGAGCCGGATGGCTCCTGACTCAACAGCCCAGAGGAGGATGATACTCACCAGGTGAGGCATCAGGAGGTCAGCCAGGTAAACAAAAGTAGCTCCCAGGGTGAAACCAACAGCCACTGGGAAGAAGGCAAAGGCACCGAAGCCCCCTGAGGACGTGGCCATCTCAACCGCTGGTGCTAGCAGAGACCAATAGGAAGCTGCTAACATGACCTGCAGAAAAACACAGGGAGCAGTCATTAACCAACCCATAAGGCTTTCTGACAGGGAGGCCCACTGTCCTCTGTGTCCTAAAATAAGCCACACAGTTTCACATTTCTTAGGCCTTTAATCTCAGGTGGTGGACACTCTCAACCAAAAGACTACCCCCGAAACTAGCAAAAGCACCTCCCATAATTCCTGTTTTATGAACCTAACTTGACAAAGACAAAGCCATTGGCAAGTGGTCCATGCTTTTGTAAATAACCCCTCACTCATGCTCCCGTAAGCATGAAACACATTGGATCAACAAAAGCAAAGGTATGAAAATAGAGGGGGCTAGCTAAGAAGAAGAAAGGGATCAGCAGGAATGGAAAGAGTGATGAGAAGCTAGGGGGAGCTAATGTGATCAAAATACATTACATGTATGTATGAGAATATCATCATGAGACCCACTGACCTAGTTTGCTGCTACTATGCTATGTACCCTCTGACACAGGAGCTTTGTTTTTTTGTTTTTTACAAACAGGTTTTCTCTGTGTAGCCTTGGCTGTCCTGGACTTGCTTTGTAGATGAGGCTGGCCTCGAACTCTGAGATTTACCTGCCTCTGCCTGGGATTACAGGCATGTGCCACCACACCCAGCTAACAGAGGATTCTTATCCAAACGTGGTTTTTGTAGTCCATGGGTCAGGTGACAGTGCCAAAAGTCACTGTCACACTGAGGGTAGGGCAGGAGACCATATCTAGTGATAAATACCCCCCCCCAACACACACCACAGCCCCTGACAACCAAGAGACATCTGCCCAGATGAGTCCTAAGGCTGCTGAGAAATGACCTTCCAATTTCAAGCTCCCAAGACAAACTGCTCCCCTGCCTGATTATTACAGAGATCCTCCTCATGCTGAACTGACATCTGTCTCCCCTCCATGTTTGTCTTCTTACTCTTTTTCCACTCTCTGGCACATCAAAAATGGTGGGCCTTCCCCCTCGAGCCATGTGACAGCATTTGAAATATCTGAAGGTGTCAGTATGTCAGTGTCAGATTGGTCTCTTCAGTGTACTTGTCTCTAAAAATGAAGAAGGGAGCAAATAACTATTGATCCACAGCCATTTCTAGGCACCGAGGTATATATTTGATATCTTGTCTTGTCATCACAATCCTGTGAGGCAGGTGTTTTCTATTGTTATTTGTGGAAAAAGAAATTAAATCTCAGACTGGAGATATGAGCTCCGTCAGTAAAGTGTTCCCTACGAAAGCATGAAGACCTAAATCCCATCCTCCAGAATCATGTTTAAAGAGCTGAGTGTGACAGGCCATGCTTGGAAGCCCAGCTCTGGCAGGGTGGAGACAGGTGGATCCCTGGGGGTTGCTGACCAGCCAGCCTAGACAAACTGGCCAGCTCCAGGTTCCAGGAGAAACCCTAAATAGACAAAGAGTAAACTTGCCCCTGTGTAACAACACCAGAGTTGACCTCTGGCCACCACACCAGTGTGCACACCTGTCGATACACTCCCACTGTGATGGCTAATCTTGGCTGTTAATGTAACACACCTGGAAGAGGCAGCCTCAACCAGGGAACTGCCCCCTTCAGAATGGCCTGTAGGCATAGATCTGTGTGGCATTTTCCCGATTGCCCACCGTGGGCAGTGACACCGCTGAGCAGGTAGCTGAGTATGAGGCTTGGAAGAAGCAGCATTTCTCCACTATCTGTTTGATTTTCTGCCTTGAGTTCTGCCCTGATTCCCTCTGGGATGGGCTGTGACATAGGACTTAGTCCTAAGATAAAATAAACTCTATTCTTCCCCAAGTTGCTTTTGGTCTGTTTTATCACACCAACAGGAAAACAAACTAGGACAGTCCTGCGCACAAACACATACACTCTAAAAAGGAGAAGAAATTGAATCTTAAATACTAAGACAATTTGTTCCTTTTCATCCAGGCAATAAGAGGCAGATGCGGGGCACAGACCAAGCAGAACCACAATCAACCCAATGACTAGAAAGGAAAACGCAGCTGGTCTCAGGGGTCAACGAGCTCAATTTGACAAACTGTTCTCCAGATCTGACCAAATTAACTAATCGCCTGTGGCTTTTTAATCTTGCACATGCTGTGACATCTTCATGGCTAGAGTCCACCCACCACCTGTCGTAACAGTCACAGATGACATATAAAATGTTGAATGGATTTCTAAAATTTCCTTAATTATGCCGCATCACCCGTCTCCAAAATAACACACAGAGCAACAACCAGGCATTAGGAGATCGAGAAGAAAGAACAACCCGTTCAGGAAGCTGTGGATTGCCTTCAGCCAGCCATTGCTCACACACAGCCACTTGCCCTGGGACGGATTCTCCTGGCAAAGGTCTTAATGTCACCATGGAACTCCGCCTCTGACTCTAAAGCTCCAGAGAGGATGAAAGTATGTCATCTCAGAGACCAACTCCTTCAACGCCATGAGTCCAGGCTGTCAGAAAAGACCACGGAAGGATCTGGGGACTCTCCATCTAGAATTTGCCTCATTAGACTTCCACAGACCTTGCAAGGGCACCGCCTGCCCAGGGATGGTCATGGACACACTCCTCATTCTCCCCTTGAACGTGAGCCAACCAGTAACACCTCCCCCTCCCCCATACAGTCCCCCCTTCAACAGTTTCAATACCTTAAGAACCAGGGAGAGCCACTCATCAGACCCTCCAAAACATATTTATACCCTGTGAGGAGGTGAAGCGACTAGACCCGCATTACCTGAACTCCCCCAGCCTCTGAGCCTTCTCAACACCTATTCTAACAGCTTCCATCAAAACCTGCACCCGTCTGTGTCTCTGGGCTCCAAGCCTGTTTTCTGCCTGTGACAGCTGATATTGGTTGTCAACTTGACTGGGTCTGGAACCAACTAAAAGACAAGCTCCTTGGCACTGCTATGAGAGACTTCTTTGATCACATTATCTGAAAAGGTAAGACCTTCCACAAGTATGGTTGGCACCTCCCAAGAGGAACCCAGATACAAAGAGATGGGAGGGGAGACACTTCACTCCTTCGCCTGCCTGCCTTCACTCTGCTGGCAAGCTCATCTACCCTGTTGCTGGTGAATTTCACTTCCCCAAGCTTCCAATGTAGACTGAATACCAGCAGCTCTCCAGGAAACCCCTAGGCTTTCAGCACCAGTCTGGGACTACGAAGACATCCAGCACCTAAACTTGACAACCAGGGGAGTCTCGGCCTCTCAGCCATTGTTGGCTTAGCTGGACTATATCTATTACGTAAGACAATCTAATAAAATACATTTTAATATAGGTTTATTCTACCAGTCCCGCCCCCTAGAAACTCTGAAAGACCACTGCAGACTGCATTTGCTACTTTGTGGTTTCTTCCTTCTCCCACCCTTCTCCACTCTTCTTCGACACTTTTAGCCCCCTAACACTTGATAAGAGAGAAAAAAAGGATAGCGAGGAAAGGAAAGAGATCCCTGAATAAATTCAGGAGTCAGAAAGCGGCAACATTATCGTTAGACTACGTCCTGCTGCGCAGGGATCAAGTTCCTTGGGGCAACTTTGCTCATTGCCATCAGGATAGTTAATCTTGTTTCTTTGCACACTACTACTTAACAAACCACGACCAACTGTGACCAACAACCAACAACCCACCTCTCTGGGCCCTAGCAATTATATACCCTCTGAAAAAATTCCCAGAATTCCAAACATCACACAATCTCAGAAACTATCTGCAGCTGGCAAAAATGACGCCTCTGCCAGAAGGCAAATCACAGTCAGCTGCTGAGAAACAGCCCCGTGTCTCCATACTAAGAACTAAAACAAAAACATATTCTTACACTATTTCTGTGTTTTTAAAGAAACCAAAATTCCAAAATTGTCATCACAGACCATCAGAACTAACGCATATCTCTACGTATGAGAAACACACCAAGTTCTCATAGATAATTAATACGGAGCAGAGAGACATGCTCTTGTGAAGGCCAAGCTAAACTCTGGGATGCTTGGAGTGGAAAAACATCCCAGACACATACAGATGGACCACTTCATGGAAATCACTGTTCTTCACCCTTCTAGTCAAATCTAGATCCCTGTGGATTTCCTTCATTTTTAAATTTCCTTGTCAGCTTCCTGATTTACACATAAACTGAGGAGCGGCAAAAGGATAATTTGTACATGGCACTGGGTTCCTGTCTAAAGTGAGTGGGTACCAAAAAAATGTGCTAATGTCAAACCTGTGACTTTCTCATCTTTTGTGGCAGAAGAATTCTACAGATGAGACCACATTAACCACGCTGAGATGAAGAGAATGACCATGGACATCAGAATGGGGCCAATGTTGTGCCAAGGACCCTTACAAGGGTATGAGAAGAGTACAGCTGGAGAGGAAAAATGACATCAAGCCAGAGACTTGACTTTATTTACACACAATACCCAAATGTAAAAACCCACACAGACAGTACATTGGTGGTTGCTATCTGGAAGTAGAAGATGGGACAGTTGCTCATGATGAATGTTCACAGTCTCAATTCATTGACCCCTGAATGGTCACTGTTCTGTTGAGCAAATTTTACCACAACTTGTCAGGATTGAAAAGTCAGGATTGATGTGATCAACCATGAGGTCCTGATCTTGTACTACTGCCCCCAGAGGTGTGCTGAACTCTCTAGCACCTTGTAGCAACTCCACATCTCTCTCTCTGTGGCAATGCTGAGACCTACGTCAGCATCTGCCTCTGTCCCTTGGCTGGCAGTTCATGTTCATGACAACAAAATGCAGAATTTGGACTCAAAAGCTTGGCTCTGGCACTCTCTAGTGCTCCAGCAAACATGAGTCCTCTGTTGCTCAGTTTGGCCAACTGGCAGTGATGCTACCAACCAGGGCCACTGGAAGAATGTAGTAATGAAGCCACCATAGCAACCCAGGAGCTGGCAGGAGGCATTGTTTTAGATCCTCCTACTTCCCAAAGCTCTGCTCAGTAAGCAAGCTCCTCATTCCCCTGACCTGGCACAGCTCCCCTC